TCTTAAGTAGCGGAGCGCAAGATGTTACTCCAAAAGACTAAGCGTTCGATGATGGAAGCTCCACGTCCAAAGTCCAGTCTACCGTAGCGGTGCACTACGCCACCGTGCCATTGGAACCGTCGACGGCATCTTCCCCATCCGCACGCCAAGGGGACATACTTTCGTCTAACGCAGGGTCGGTATCCGGTGCCGCACGAAGAACGCATGTCCCCCAAAGCGTTCGCTGTGCAAACAGAAAAGCAATTTAACAAGGCTGTCAGCAAGCGTGATATGAGAGGGCAAAACGAGGAGAAGTCAGCAAAAGCCGTTGTGGTGTTCTATCGGGTACAGCATCCCTACACAACCAAGACAAAAAGGTCTGGATTGCCAGGCGCAGGGCCTGCCAAAACAGCCCTGACACAGCTCCGCAGGCCGCCTGATTGGGCCGGCGACAAGAAATCGCACCGTCGCATTGCGCAGAGGAAACAAAAGCAAGGCGGCTGCCACCATCCATCTCCACAGCTGTGCCAGCACGCCGCTTAGCCAACGCTAAAGGACCGCAAGTTCGGCGCCATCCCAAACTCTAACTGCAACCTAACCCTCCTTCCGAGGCACATTACACACCTATGCGAAGCTCTCGCTGCGCATCCGTCGCTCGTAACTCGACGAGATACACCCCTCTAGAAGACGTAAGTGCAATCGAAGGCGCAGTAGATCAGGGAAACCAACAGCGCCCAGGGAGGGGTACTGGGGAAGATAGTCAACTGCATACCAAGGCTCTGCGACAAACCGCGGCAATCCCTGGGGACGATCACCGGGTAACTCCAATGTTAATCTCCACGAGTCTATTGCTCGTTAGGGAGCAGGCTTGGACCATGGTATTGGTTGCTAGAATCTTATTCAGTACATAGACCCCCTCTCCGTCCCATCGTTTTTCTCGCTCAACCCTGTTCCATCTCACTTCGACATTCCCTCACTCCAGTCCGTCTTTCACATATCGAATACCACCACCAATACATATTATACCATATAATCAAGATGCGTTTCCAGGCTACCGTCCTCGCCGTCGCGGCTTCGCTCGCTTTCGTTGGTGCTCAGGATTTGAGCGGTATCCCCCAGTGCGCTGTATGTTGCCCTTCGTCTCCTGTTCCCGATCGGATCGGACTTCGGAGCCCACACCTCCACTCGAAGACGATCACGATCGCGATCTAGGCACGTCGCACCTAGCATCATTAACTAACACAACTACCAACAGATCCCCTGCTTCGTCGCTGCCCTCCCCAGCTCCAACTGCGGTGTGACAGACACAAACTGCCAGTGCACCAGCGGCCGCTCTGCCATTGAGAACTCGCTCCTCACTTGCGCACCCGAGCGATGCGAGCAGAGTGAAATCTCCAGTACGTTTTGCATACCCTACATACCTATCATCTTCGTCCATATCTAACGCGACTACTAGGCCTTGCCCCCGCTGTCTCCTCCCTCTGTGCCGCCGCCGGTGTAACCCTCTCTGACATCCCCACTGCCGTTCCCTCATCTGGCGCTTCCATGACCGGCTCAATGATGTCCAGCATGATGAGCGGATCCCCCACCATGACCGGCTCCATGTCGCCCACCAGCTCCGGTGTCGCTGAGCAGACCGAGAATGCTGCTGCTGGCAAGCTTGCTAGCTACGGTGTTGTTGCCATGGGTATGGCTGCCGTCTTCGGATTGTAGATGTCGAATACCTGGAGGGGTGATGCGAACGGCGCGTTGGTTGATTAGGAATTTGTAATGCGACAATCGCTTGTATATCGCAATTGAAACCGTATCGTTCATTTGAATCGCTGAATTTCTGATGCTGTGCGCGAGTGGTTGGTGATGTTGAATTGGTCTCGGGCTATGTCCTTTGTTCACGCGGCTTCGAGTGCGCTCGCCCATTTGCCAGACCATGCCGTGAACTCATCATCTTGTCCAGCCCAGCTCTGCCTGACCAGCTCGATAGCGCTATTGGCCTCGCCACAGCATTTGTCCAAAGTTTCTTTCGCTTCGTCTTCGTCAAGATCGTAGAACGCGCCTGCGATGTCATCGACTGTCTCAGGTATCGTCTTGAGGGTATTCACAAGCGCGTCTAAATTTTTACAAGGCGGCGAGGTCGCACCGTTCGTTGCGGCGGCCGGTTCGAGCGTGGACGATGCAGGATACGTCTTCAACCTCCTCTTAATCAGCGCTTGGTAGAGCATACCAATCATCTTCAGCTTCTTGACACTGGTATCCAGTAGTTCCTTCAGCTCCTTGTTGTCCTTGCCGATCTTGTTAGATGCGCCGAAAATCTCATCTTCGTCGTCGCTGCCTTCTGCTTCGTCGTCATCTTCGTCTTCCACGTCTTCGCCCCATTCTTTCAGCTCCTCGATCGCATCGAGTAGGACTGCGCGGTACTCTTGCGCTTTCTTGACTACTAGCCCTACAACGCCGTCTTCGCATAGCTTTAGCAGCGCGTCGCATATGTCCCATAGCACACCAGTCGAGGACAAGACTTCTTGCTTCTCGCTCTCGGTTGGACCGGTATCTTTGCCTTTTGCGCATTGTCTTTTCTCTGCCATCTTCAGGATCATGGCGAGAACTTCTCCCCAGGTTCCTAGCAGTCTCCGGACTTGCGCCTTGACTTCCGTGCGCATTATGTCTCCGATGTCGCCCTTCTGGCCCTCTCGTGGTATATACGAAGCTGCAGTCACCATGCTGTTTAATGGACCTGAGGTCACATCGCCGATTCTCGCTATTATCGCCGATGGTGTGAGGGGCGGATTTATGAGGAGGAGAGACAGTGTGGTCGTGTGCGATTTCAGGAGCTTAGTCGACGCTCTGATAACATCGAGAGGATCTGCTATTTCTGTTTCAGACGTAGGCGCGGCTTCTTTGGTGGGCGCAAGAGAGGACTGGTAGTGTGTGAGGAGCGCTTGTGTGGTTTTGGTAAGGTCGATGAGACTGCGCAGGTCTTTTGGTTTCGACATTGCGCCTTGCTTGTGAGATCAATTCAATGAATACTTTGTCCTTGGAGGCATTGGAGTGGCTGACAATATGTGCGCAGTTCACGAGCCAAAGTTTGGACAGTATCAAAATTTTGGTGGGGCAGTGACTCTTAGCGGGGTACCTGTGTACATGGCTCCGTCATACCCGCACCACGGCGGACATGCTCCGCAGACGGCTGCATCCATCTCTGCCTTTACACGACTCTGTTTCACTTCTTGCGAGGTACTTTGGTCCTATACAGCGAGAGTCAGATATTTGGCCACGGTGATATACCAGGTCGTTCGTCTCAAGCGATGTTCGTTCCCACTACGGTGGCAACCGATGACTCTGCAACGAATGCGTGCACGGCGACGACTCCATTCCTACCATTATGATATCTGATCTTCTTCCAGAGGTTCATGATTTCAAGGTTGATATGCTGGGTCTAACGTCAAAGTTGTCACAATCCAATCCAGACCCCCACGATCTGGAAGGCGAAGTCGAGACAGTGAAGCCCGGCACGCAGACCTCGTATATGCCGCATCTCAGACACGACTAAACGAGGAAATGTGCCGCTGATGCATAGATTCACATGTGTGTAAGAGTCTGCCCCGACATCTGCTGAGGTCACAATGGCGTTCGTCCCCGCTCTCATGCTGCTTACATTGAGCCTCGCCAATGGGGCTCGCGCACTAGGCAATGAAGGCTGCGAGGCGCAGTCATTGCAGTTCACCGGTATTGCAGGTCTGACCACTGAAACAGTACAACTCATCATCTCATACTCACACGTTGCAAGTGCATGCATGGCGGAATGTACAGCAATTTCGCCTAGCTCAGCCATTCGTCGACTCGATCCCAACGATACTGACAGCCTCGCAACATGAAGCTGGAGGACTCGCGATGAATTCGGTGAAGCAGAGCCTCACGTACTGGGTCAGTCCAGCCTGATGGTATATCTGGCAATCGCGGTTGCGCGAAGGACATAGGTCCCCAAAGTGCACCTCAGGAATGCCACAGACCTCACCGGTATAGCCTGCTCTATCCGTTTACCTCATTACCAGTCGTACCCTAGTACACTCATCCGTCCACCGTATACCTCCTACGCAATGGCTTATGTCGAGGATACTTTTCCGGTCTATCGTCTCGATCAGGCAGATTTGGAGAAATACCTGAGCGAGCTGCACGGTTCGCGTGACTTCCACATTGAAGTAGGAAATCTTGGATGTCGTATCGGTGTGTGCTGAGCTTAGTTACAGGTCATCAATGATACGTACAGGTTCCGAATTCCGAGAAGTTTGACCACGGTATGGAATCTTTGACATGATCGGTCTTGGTTCAAATTTTGACTTTGAGTAAGGGCGAGAGAAGAACACTTAGGGGCCGTAGATGGGAAGACGACTGATGAAGGGTGTTGGCAGCGATCTTGTGGGGGCGGGCTGCATGACAGTCTGCCGCGGGGCTAGACAGGATTGTCGTGGCGATGAGGGCGACACCGGACTAGGAACTCGGTGCTGCGGTCATTTCTAGTACTGGTATATAACTCAATCTACCCACCTTTCGTAGTGAAAGATTCTTCAGCTTCTATTGCTAAATTTCGGAGCAATTGCAATGGATCAATACGCTAAATCTTGCAAAGACTTCCGAAGCTACCCTCAGAATCTCACACAGCGATGTGCCCTCAGCTATAGTTTGGCAGGATATGTCGCTCGGCTGGAATCTCAATCTGAATATCTCTTTCGAGATGATAAAGTGGAAGTGGACTTTCTTGATTATCGGGAACTTGATAATCGTAAGCAATCTATCAGTGGCCAAAGTTCATCCTACTGACCCTATGCAAGGCTTCAGCTCGGCATGCGTCAAAAACCAACGAGAATTGGAGCTTATACTTAGCTGTAGGCAGTCACTGACGCCCGAGGCGGTCGATCCGAGATGCCGTTTCATGTCAGTGGAAATTCAGTTTTTGGATCGCTTTAGCTGAAGATGATAGATTCCTCACAGCTGGCCAAAGCCGAGCGCCATTACGGATCACCCACGACATGTTCAGCTTTCTATGTACCATCTATCAGGTGTCTTCTTCGTTTCTGGATTTCGTATTCCCTTTCGGACTGAAGGAAGAAGCAAAAGACTTTCACTTCAGTGGCCTCAAGGGCGAATACCGTTTAGCGTCTTACGACAAGACATGTGTGCTACCAACTTTAGACCGTTCAGGAAGAGATCTTCGCTTCAGCTACAATCTGAGATCCGTGGAACCGACGTCACGTCGGGCAACAGATCCCTGGTCTATCCGCCAGTGCGCTGTGTACCATACATTCGACGTGGAGAACGGGAAAATGATCTGGATTATCGTCAAGGGTAACAAAGAGATCCAGAGACGAGTGACTGAAGTGTCCGGCGGATCAACACATAGCGGTAATCCCCTCAGATCTCGCAGTAATGCATTCACGGCATCGTTGGAAACACATATGTTGTTGTGCAACTGGTCCGGAGAGAACTGGCGATGGTACATCAATGATCTCGAAGATCAGTTGCAGGTTTTGACAAGAGGGGTAAATGCCCTTGAGGTTGAGAGGAAGCCATCACCGCTGTCATCACCCAAGATCACAAGCCCACGAGCTAGCGCAGGCCCGTTCGCCAGCTTGTCAAGGGCTACCACACTACGTCCGCTTCTGACAGGACCTTGGACCAGGTCAAACACACTGCGAGAAAGTCCGCAAACGTATACGCACACGGCGACAAGTAATGATGATCAACATTGCGGTGTTTGGGCGTCAGCCCAAAAAGCAAGCAGTTCGCCCGATGCGAAACGTTGGAAATCGGCCGTGAATGATATTCGCAGATTGCTAACACGGCCCTTGCGATCTGATACAGTCAACAGCAGCTCAACTTTCGGAGACGAGAAGACTTTGCTAGCATCCCCTGAAACAGCGGTATCGCCAGAGCTACCCTCTGTGTCTTCCGATGGCGGAGTAGACAAGGATGACAAGTTCACTTTCAAGAACCTTCAAGCTATACAGCATATAGAGGAGAAGGCGCAAGAAGCCATGCTCGTGCTCAAGCTGAACACTGAAGTTCTTGAGCAACTGAGACTGCATTACGATGAAGTTGCAGAGCATGCCGACTTTCCTCAGGAATTGAAAGATGGCTGCAAGGCTAATCTTCATCTGTTCAACAAGGGTATAAGTGGAGTAGAGAAAGACATGCATATGCTGCAGTCAAGAACTGAGACGCTGCTGCACCTTCTGGCTAATCGCAAGAACTTGGTAAGTACCATACTCTCTCGCATCATCATACGGTTAGGAGGATAGTGGGATGCATCAAAGCTACATCCATCAAAGCGAGAGACTGAGCATGTGCTAATACCGTGTTCTAGATGAGCGGTATACTACAGCACCGAAGCTCCAAAGCCAGCGAATTTTACGCTAAAGAGTCCCGAGAATCCGCGGCTCGCATGGAGACAATGACTGTCAAGATGCAAGATCTTGCTATGAAAACGAAGCAAGAGACGGTGTCCATGAGGGTTATCACCACTGTGACTCTCTTCTTTCTACCAGCAACCTTCATCGCCGTAAGTGAAGGATGTAACGCTCTGCTTCCACATGTCGACTAATGTTACACAGACTTTCATGAGCACCGACATTCTCAACTTCGAACATGGTAAACAAGACCTGCAAATGCAAGGCCTCCGGCTATATCTGATGATTGCTCTCCCTGCGACAGCTTTGACCTTTGTTGCATGGTACTTCATATATTATTTCGCTCGAAGGGAGGCTCGGTCGAACGATCGGTCCGAGGCTCTTGGGGAGGCCTGATCTCTTATCGAATCGCGCGTTCATCATCTATGTTACATGCGTTAGCTCTTCGTTTCCCGTTGGTAAAAGCTATGGTTTCCTTTCGCAATGTTGCTTTTCGGATAGGTGGGTGGTCTCTGGAGAGGTCTGATCTATGCGGCGTTGGACCACCACTGCACCGGACATCATAACGATGACGATGTCTCCTTTCTTATATATTAGACGTATAGATTTCTAGACGACTTTAGATATTGATCACTTAGTGTTTAGATTCCGTTTAGTGTGATCGCTCGATCTTCTCGCATACCTACCTAGGTAGCTCAGCTTGAGAACCATTTAATCGGAAAGTCAATCCTATCATATGCGAGAGTACAGCTGGCGTTTCCGATATCAGGCTCGCTGTAGAAGCCGTCGAAACTTGCGAGCGTATCATGACGCCTGGGCTGTGAGCCATGGTCAACAGCGGACCGATGCGTCTTGGCGGTTTCACGTTGTTCGACGTAAAAGCCAACGTCGTGCCCACAAGAGAGATTCTTCTTCTCATTGAATGTCCGACTATCGATCGATACCCATTGCGAACACGCGATCATAGTAATCGAAGGTAGTTACGTCGCGGTAGGATTGTAGACCGTAGCTGTCACAGCCGCTCAGCCGCGCAGACGCGTGGCCGCCATCTTTCCTGTTGTCGCCTGTCCATTGTTCGCGACAACTCTCATTTCCTTTCACCGCATGTTCCACAAGAAAGTTTATTTGTCTCTCTATGTCCGATGGCACGCTCAACGAAGGACGATGATGCAGCTGATGCAGGTCCGGTTGAGTGTGGCTTGAGGCTGTGGGCGGGGTCCTCCTCTGATGGCTTTAGCGACCAGACATGGAGTAGCTAGCTCCCCAGAGCCCAGGTGCCTGACTTCAGCCTGCCGCTCAGATTTGCGAAATCTCCAACCTCACATTGAGCTTATGCGCAAACCTCATATCACTCCTCCTTCCCTCGAAATTAGTTCTACACCTGTCGCGACTCGCACCGGACGAGAATACCTGATGCGCACTATCCCCGATAGCCAGGATGAGATCCTCCGAGCTTCGCGATTTCCTCGAGCGCGTAGACGAGTTCACATCGATCGCCGTAGTTGAGCCCCGACCACTGATTACCCGACCGATTGTATCGCTGGATAGCCTCCGATCCTGGCTCAATACGGAAAGAGCACGAAGCCTCTTGTTATACGTGGAGAGCACCCCCAGCTACGAGGACGCCGTCCGAACCAGTCATCTAGCTGTATTTTCAGTCCTACTTTCGATAAACAAGGGTATCTATCTATCTACGTTCATACGACACGATCACATGGCAGATGCCGGGCTACCTTTCCTTACCTGTGACGCATGGCCGGACGCTGTCCAGTACATATTCGACGAGTTCTACGAAGCGCAGTGGAAGTTTTGCCCCAAACGTCTCGATCCTCGCCATTTGCACGACATATGGCTAGACAAAGACATCGTTATGCCCTTCAGAAAGAAGCGAGTCTTGAAGGGAGGTGAGGACTCGGTGATCTTTAAGGTTGAGCTGTTTGAGGAGTACAACCATCTCATCACAGTACGTCAACTGCGTGCGCGCGCATGAGCCTATATACTTGTAGCAAGCGGCTGACCTCGTTGCGTTCAGGACGATCTGAACATCCCCCCTACCAACGTCTTCATCCTCAAATCGAGCCGATCGGAATACGCCAAGTTACACAACAACGAGGTAGAGGCTTACAGGACACTACTGAGTCATGCGAGTGGTCGAGATGCGATGCAGCATATGGCCCGCTTCTATGGTTCGTGGAGACAGAGTGAATGTTGTAACATATTGCGCGAATATGTTGGTGGTGGCACACTGGCGGACTTCTTCGAACGAACCGATCCGCCTACAACGATGGACGACATCCTCGAATTCTGGAAGAACTTCATACAATTCATCAAGCCAATAGCGTGCATACATCGTCTTCCCGATCCGCATAATCGTCATTCGTTCAAAGCCGGGTATGTAAACGAACACCAAGTTCCTTCTCCGTTGATCCGCAACTGACTTATAAGACTACATAACGACATCAAACTAGACAACATTCTTGTGACAGAGCAACTCGGGAGCAATCCATACAGCGTCTCCTTCAAACTATCAGACCTTGGTCTCGCCGGCTTCGTGGTTGCGGATGACAGAGATGAGACGCATATTCGCGACGTGCACGGTACGAAGATGTACAGTAGGTCACCATTGAGGTTCAAATCTGCCCTAGTCTAACATACTTTCGAGGTGCTCCTGAATACTTCCGCGGCGAAACAGACAGGTCCAAGCAACAAGGCATCAAGCAAGCACACCCAGCGAAAGACATTTGGGCCTTGGCTTGTATAATAAGCGAAGCTGCAGTATGGTCAGTATTTGGCCACAGAGGGCTGGCCGAATACCGTCAGCGGCGAGTCGAAGCCACCTCCGCTATTCCAGCCCTCAGAAACACAGGTTACAGCAGCTGCTTCCATGATACTACGAAAGTTCTCGCTGCTGTAGAACAAATGCATACGGATGTCATCTACCGACGTCGAGCGAACATCGACAGTATCGTCATGTCAGTCCTTCTTACTGTTGGCGGAATGATGAATGAAGACCCGAAAAAACGACCGGATGCGTGGAAAGTTTACGAAGATCTCACACGAGCTGTAGATCAGGCGATACCACCAACACCCGGGCCAATCACGCGACCAGCACCCCACGATGAAATTACGCGACCACCTGCACAAGGCAACTACAGGCCGCATTCCATGCCTGTCAATTCGTCCCCTAATCAGACTGTGGGTCTGAACATTAGCGGGCTTTCTTTGCAGTCGCGCAGAGACACACACGGGGGTCCAGCATATCATCCTCCAAGTAGACGATCAACGGTCAACGGACATCCTTCCCCTGCCTCACTTTCTGGTGCTTCGAGTATCGGAAAAGGAAAAGCGCCAAGACGTTATGCCCATAGCCCGCCTGCCGATACTATACATGAATGGCAACGTACTCCACTGGCTCCGCTCCGCAGTCCTATTCCGCAGCCTCATGCGCCTGCTGGTCAGAAAGCCCGGCCCTCAGCATCCATCGCTCAGGTCTTGGAGCACATACGAAAGAAGAAAGATCACTTACCCACGACGCTCCCAGGCGAAGAATGGCTCAATCGGCTGCATGGTAGAGACCAGGTACTTCAAAAATGTCGAATGACTTTGGGCGCTTTTGCTGACGAGTTTCCCACAGATTTTTCTCATTGACGACTCCGAATCAATGCGGCAACACTGGCCTGAAGTCAAAAGCGTTTTCGAAGCTCTAGCGTACCTGGTCAAACTCAAGGATCGAGATGGCATCGAGTTACATTTCGCCAACAGTCGCGAGCAGAATGGTCAGGAGAAGCACCGCAAAGGGCTCATTAAAAGATTGGAGAAGGTGAAACCCAACGGCCAGTGCCAAATGGGTATTGCGCTCAGCGATATTCTTCCCAACTACTACCAAAATCAGCATCAAAGTCAGTCAAACAAGCGAACATCCTGGTCTCCACGAGTACCGGAAAAGCCTCCAGTCAACATCTACATCCTGACCGACGGTGTTTGGCAGCCAGGTCAACATTGTGTTTCGACCATAAAAGGACACATCACCCGCCTAGTTCATCATTTGGCTGAAACAGGCAGGCTTGAGCATGTCGGCATCCAATTCATCCGCTTCGGCAATGATGCGATCGGGAAAGAGCGCCTCGAATATCTCGACAACGATAATCTGAAGCATTATGAGGTTCCCGGGGACATTGTCGATACAGAGCCATCCACTGGCAACGTTTTCAAAATGCTCCTCGCGAGTACTGATCCTTCCTGGGATAACGACGACGATGAGCCGAGCGGCTGAAGGAAACGACGCTCTCGAGGCATCTCGACGGTCGCGCCACCACGACCAAGCGGAATACAACTTCGACCAAACACTGAATCCACCATGCCCCGGGCTCTGGGATCAGATCTTTTGTTCCGAGGTGTCTTTCTTTTTGATTTCGTTATCTTGGAATACTGCGTACGATACCCGGTGCATTACGGCGTTTTGGTGATATCGGCGTCGCATTTAATTAAGGGTAGACACGGCAAGCGCACGAACACACTGTTCAACTCCCACGGCTAGGCTGGCGGAAACCCCAACTTACGCGAAACAAATCGCTACGATAATAACGGAAAGCCATGTAGAGTATTTCTATGAGGTTCATCGACTAGTCTACGCACATTGAACAAGACCCTTCTACAAATAACGTAGATCGACGTGATAGTCCTCACTTCGTGAACCGTCCTCTCGTGTCATACACACAGGCGGGGAAAGAGAAGAAGAGCCATGAGTGACGAAAAATACACTTGCTGAACAGCGACAGGCGCGTGTGCGCACTTTCTTATATCAAGACCAGAACCACGATACGTCATACCGAGACCAGCAACGGGCCATCAACCAAGCGTACCGCCCACCCCTTCTGCATACACCCTCCCCTCTAGCCCGCCCTTACCTCCACACCCCAACACCCCAACGTCATCTCACCACTGCATCCACCCGCATCCACCCATCTCTCCCTCCCCTAAACCCAACAGCCGCGCACTTCCACGTTTCTCGACCCCTACTCAACAACATGCACGCTACGTAAGCCCATGCAGCTACCCGCTGCAGGTCAGCCTCAACTGCATAAGGGAGCCGCCTGCCGCGCAAAACGGCTAACAGCGGGGCAACCAAGAAACTGCAGTGGGTGTAACCAGACCTCAACAATATGCATGATGTACCCTTTATGCGGAAGAGGGTTTGTTTGTTGAGGTTATCTCGGGACGCGCAGATGAGGGTGAGATAACGAGATAATGTTGCCTACCAGGTAAGGCAGGTGGGAGGCGACAACACCCGGACAACTTCATCGTCATCACACATTGTGGTAAAGCCGTCTTGTTTGAACATGTTTTTGTTGCATTACAATACATAAATCTCTTGCGAACCATGGACATATCTAATCTTGATGCGCCTGGGGACCCAAACACGCGACGCAGGGGAATAATGTTTCCTTCTAAGAAGGATATAGGAACCGTTTTTGCCCCTCTTACTCCCAACTATACTACCATGCATCTAATCGTCGTGAATATTGAGGGACATTGCCCGCCGGTGTTGACACGTATATTTAACACTGCGCGATGGCGACGGAAACAGCCTGGTCATCGGAGTGGCTGATGCTGATGTTGATGTTCTTGACACCTACGCGCTTGGCCTCTTCGTCGGCTTTGCCGTAGAGCTGCGAATGCGTCAGTATATGATTTCAGAGTTGGTAATGTTAGGAACATACCTGAACAGTTGGCGCGCCAGACTCGTCGTTGATGATCTCGATATCCTTCAGCGGAGCGCCGGCGCCTTCACCCTTGACACCGAGAGACTTGAAGACAGCCTCCTTCGCTGACCACTTGCCTGTGAAGCTAGCCTGCGGGTTTGGTGACTTCTGACAGTATGCGACCTCCTTCTCGGTGAAGTTACGCTCGATAAAGGTCTCGTTCTCAATGTTGAGCGCACTGAGGCTCTCCACATCGACACCAACCTTGCTGTTGGAAGAAGCTGTGGCTTGAGTGAGCTGCTCAACCATCTTCATCGTCTCTTGCGCCTTCTTGTCCTTCTTGGGAGCAGGAGTCTTTGCATAGCTGTATGTCGAAGTCTTCTTGTTCATGGTGACGCGCGCTTGCGGGTTGAGGAAAACCTCCTGCATCTTTTCGTCCTCGTATGGCGCCTTGTCCTTGGCACGGAACATAGTGTTGTTGATGAGACCATCGTGGAAGTATCGGTATGCCCTCTTTTGGCGAGCTTCAACCTTTTGCTTGTAGGCAGCAAATTGGTGGTGCTCAAGAGCGGCAAACAGGTACTTGGGGTGAATACCGATAGCTTGAGTTCCCTTCTGACCGAAACCAAACGAAGTAACGGAGAAGGCCTTGATACCATCGGTCTGGATGGCCTGGGATGGGTAGACGATGTAGTCGTATTGCTCCATGATCTTGTCGATGTTGTCGGCGTTACGGTTGCCAGGCACAAGACCAGTGTTGAGCACCTGCAAGCAACCGTTGAACATCCAGGCACCGGCAGCACCCTTGGGATGACCAGTGAGGTACTTCTGCCAGATACCAAGCAGCGCATTGCCCTTCTTACGGCCGAGGTGGCGCATCTGGTGATTGATGACGTCGGACTCATTCTTGTCGTTCGCAACAGTAGAGGTTCCGTGGAAAGAAGCGACGTCGAGATCGTCGATAGTGAGGCCCCAGGTAGCAAGTGCACCGCGAAGAGGAGCGATGCGTGAGTCTTGCTTCCAGAAGCTGTTACCGAGACTGTTGAGCGCGTCCTTCTCTTGTCGCTTGGCTTCCATCTCGATGTTAGCAGCACGCTCCTCGAGATAGGCAGCCTCGTCGAAGTCCTCGCCAGTAGCGTCCTTCATCGCCGCGACTTCTTCCTGGAGGTAGAGGACTTCCGACTCCTGCCACTGCTTGATCTGCTTGCGGCGGAGGTCCATCTGTCTCCTCCTGTACTTGATGTCAAGAAGAGGAGATGGGAACTTGGACGGGTTCTCTCGTGCGGTGGTCAATACACCCTTTCCTGGAGCAGGGACAGAACGACCAATCTTGTCGGTTGCCGTGGCCGTGAAGCCGAGGATACCGTAGATGGGGACTCCCATGTCGAGGGCGAGCTTGGCGTCCATGATGACTTGCATACCGCAACCTTGCGATTCCATGAAGCCATTTCGGGTTGTGGTGGTGGGGCGCGACATCTCCTTGGGTGTACGTCCGTGAGCGAATTCGTCTTCAGCGTTACTAGTGGCCTTCATGTTGGCGAATTCGTAGGAGCCTTCCTCTTGGAAGTCATCGAAACCACCAACGAAGCAGACACGGGCCTTTCCTTCGACGATGGTGTCGTAACCGATATCGAGAGACTCAACAGCGGTGGCGCAAGCACCGACGGGTGTCTTGATAGGTCCAGTGGATGAGATGAGCAACATGTTAACCCAAGCGCTCATAGTGTTGATGAAAGATTCTTGCAAAATATCCTTCTGGACTGGCTTGTCCATGAATCGGTCTTTGTACATTCCTCGAAGGGCGGTAGTACCACCAATACCGGAACCGACGCAGTTACCGACTTGAGACAAGTGGACATATTGGTAGAACTCGTATGGGTCGGTGATACCACTGGCAAGCAGACACTCGGCCGTGGAGACAAGCACGAAGAGTGTGACAGGGTCGACTTGGGAGATGATGTCGTCGGGCACACCGTACTTCTTTGCATCCCAGCCAGTCGGGATTTGACCAGCTACGAGACGGTCGAAGCGAAGAGCCTTGGGAAGGAGGAGTGTAGCTCCCTTCTTCATGCGGACAGTGTACTCGCTAGACTCCTCGATCGCAAAGATCTCAACCTTGTCGCCATGCTCCTTCTTGAACTCTTCCGCAAGTTCCTTGGAAGCCTCGAATGGATCGAGATCCTCCTCAATCTGGATCTCTTGCATAAGCTGCTTCTTCTTGGGGTCGTAGCCATTGAAGAGCTCGGGCTCGATAAGGCGGATACCGGCGTGCTCGAGAATGTACTTCTCGTACTTCGGCTTGACATCCTTGTCATCGATTGGCTCGTTGGTCTTGGCGTCAACCCATCCGGAGTAGCTCTTGCCCTTGAGAGGACCGTTGTGGTTCTTGATGAGACCCATGATCCAAGCCATCTCGACACATCCCTCAATGGAGAATTCGCCGTACGCTTCCATCTCCCAGCGTGTCCTGGAGTTACCCCAAGGACCGACTTCAGAGAAACCAGTGACGACGACGACCTTCTCAAGGTCGACCATACCCTTAAGGTTATCGTTGAGAGGCTTGACCTCTGTGTCCCAATCAGGTAGGGTGGGGAAGTCGAACTTCATGTTTGCACGTGGTTCGATCGTGGCCTTCTTGTATAGGGCCTCGCTGGCCTCGCCGTTGACAACCTTGTTCTCGATGGCATTCTCCTTGATGACGGCACGGCGGATATCGCTGGTCTCTGTGAGTTCCTTGCGCAAGTCGGTCATCAAGTCCTTCAGGTTAGGAATGTACTGGAAGCCGCCGTTGAGGTCAGCCCATACAGGCTCGACCTGGCAGAGGTTGACGATCGGTGGCGCCATCAGACCAAGCAAGTTGAAGGCCATCTCCTGCTGAGAGAAGGTGCGTACACCGTACTTCTCGATTCCCTCAGCGACGATGTTGTTGGCGCCCATCAAACCAGTGCCACGAGTCCAGCCGATGACGGCACCACAGATGGTGAGGTAGTTACCCCAGCTCTCTGAGTGCCACCTCGAGAAGAGTGTCTCGAGCGACATCTTGGACTCTGAGTAAAGACCATCGTTACCGAAGGTTCCGTGGTTGGGTGACAATGGTAGGATGACTTGTGCTGGGCGGGTCTCGTAGCCGTAAGCTTGCTTTTGCTTCTTGACAGCTCCGAGCATGCGCAACAGGTTGGTCAACATGATGCGGTGAGCGAGCTCAGACTTGGAGTCGATGCTGTCAATTTCGCGGCCATTCTCTGGAATAGCAGCGAAAGGAACGATGAGGTCGAGATCCCATCCAAGGCCCTTCTTGGTGTCGAAGATGTAGTCGACCAAAGCCTCAACATCTTGGTTGCTGCCCTGGTTGAAAGGCACAACAATGAGCTGAGAACCGCGGGCGCCGTAACGCGAGTACATGGACTGATAGTACTCGGTGACCTCACGGGAGAACCTGGAAGTTGTGACGACGACCTTGGCACCACCGCTGATGAGACCCTGAAGGACTTGCGCGCCGATAGAGCCCGCACCAGCGCCCGTCATAAGAGCGTACTTGCCCTGGAAAGTGACACCAGACTTGGCGGCATCC